CTGGAAAGCCCTGCGGCTAAGAAGAGAAACTGACACACATTCCTCATCCCCATAGAAAGTGGATGTATGAGGCTCTGGGGGTTTTCCTCATTGCTGGGCTGCCTCGCTTCTCTAGGTCTCCAAGTCAAAGCAAGGACACGTTGCACATTCTTTATTCTCGGAGGATCCTGAAGTCCCTGCATATGTGACCTGCAGTCCTGGGGCTCAGGAAGCCCCTCAACCTGCAGGTCCTGCCTCCCCATCCATGTCAGACTACCCTCAGGGGTCGGGGCTACTTCCAAGAACTGTGGAGGCTCTGGCCAGAAAGCTCTTTGCTGACTCCTCATGAAGCTGTGTGGTTCCACTAACATCTTCTGTCCCTCTCTTGTTTACAGATTCATGTTTAATCTCACTCCATTAAGATCGCTTCTAGGACTCTGTACCATGAGGGAGGAGGACTTGCTCTATGGCCTCCAATTCCTAGTATCTGGGATGTGCCCAGCACATAGTACATCCTCAATAAATAACTGCAGAATATATGGATAAACTCTACTTTGTAAGCTCTGAGAAACTGCACTATTGCTTCTTCTTCCCCGTAAGATCTGGAAACTACTTGCTGTGGTTAGAAACTTTTCCCATAAGAAGGATGCAGAAATTCCGAACATACAGAAATGATTAACATTTGAGGAAATGTAAGAGCTTATTACCCTGACTTGATCATCACACGTTGTACACATGTATGGAGTTATCATTCTGTATGACGACGGTGTGCAAATGCTGTGTCTCAGTACAAACAAATCTTTCCCATTTGTACGGATATTATGGAGATTTTGATGTAGCAGATTTGTAAAAAATCAAAACCTACTCAACCTTAACTCAAAATAATCCTAAATGGAGGGAGGATGCTTTATGAGCAGTGGAACTCTCTGGATTTCTGCTGAAGACTGTGTGTCGATTTGGTACTTTACCTGAGAATGAGAAAACATTGGTGTGTGTTCAGCAAAAAGTGATGATCAGTGATCCCGGTGGGGCAGACGAAGATGGGAAATGTGAATGCACTAACAGTCAGCTGTCCACTCTCTGTGGCCTCCCTGGCCATTTACATACCTGAAGCCTTCAAGCAATGGCCATGCATGGGCTTCTCCTTACTACGCCTGAGTTGCATATTCCAGGGAATCCTACATTGTGAAGGTCCACAGTGTTTCAAAAGGGCCGATGGGAAGGAAAGCCAGGATTATGAACATTGGGTGTACATCTCTCCTTTCTGGAAATGCCACCCTAGAAGTGTAATAAAGTATTGAGTTAGTCAGCAACTTCATATTAATCACCAGTTCCTTGTGCTTTAGCAGACATCTCATTTTTAATGCAAGCCTCACAGGAGCCTCATAAGATCACTATTGCATCACCCCATTTTATAGATAAGGAAACGGGGTTAGTGCAAGCCACCAGTTGTACAAAGCAACTAAAAAGTGTCAGGGCTCATGTGTTTGAAATACCAGCTGATGGCATGTATGTGAATGTCACTGAGTTTTGTTTAACCTATGGGGTCAAATGCAAATGCTATGGAATTATTGTACTGGGGAATACAAAAGGTGACAGTAGCCTTCCCTTCTCTTTGATTAAAAAAAAAAAAGAAAGAAAGAAAGAAAAAGGACAGCAAGGTGGGAAGGAAAGGGCCTTATTGTACTGGGGAATACAAAAGGTGACAGTAGCCTTCCCTTCTCTTTGATTAAAAAAAAAAAAAAAAGAAAGAAAGAAAGAAAAAGGACAGCAAGGTGGGAAGGAAAGGGCGTGGTCTTTTCTATACTGTGTTATATTTGTAAAACCTGTGGGCCTGCAACTGTTTCTGGCTGACTCACTCTTTTCACCACATCCTTCACCAAAGAACTAAGATCAGATAAGAGTGTGCAACTCTCAGAAAGTCTGGGTGGTTCTGAGCAGAGCAGAGAGCTGTGTCCTTTCGCGTGTCATCCATTCTGCCTTTGTCGGGATCCTGCTGACTGAGACTCCTGTGTGGGTCGCTGAGATCCCAAATTTTCCTTTTTATAATGGCAGAGAAGTCTGGGCTCTCCTTGAAGTATTCTAAAACCCTTTTATGAATAGATTACTCGGATCTCTCAAAAGATGCTAAGAGAACATCTTTTTACACTCATTATAATTTTAAAGTGCAAGCACTAATGTTAAAGATCAAACACTCTACAGAGGCTTACATATGAGCAAAAGGAGGGCTGCTTCTCAGACCCCGCGACTTGCTCTGCTGAGTTATCAGTTTGGAAGAGACTTCTGTAATTTTGCTCTGCAAGGAGTTTTGTTGGGTAAGATAATAGAGTGTAGGAAACATAATAAATACAAATAACTTTTACAACCATTTTTGTCACCAAATATGTATGGATTATAGTTTTACCAAAGGAAAGAAGGGTATGGGATCTTTGAGCAGGAAGAGACCTATGTGACCTGACTTTCTTATTTATCACATGAAGAATGAGGCCCAGGGCACTCTTTAGTTCATTCAAAGCTACATGGTAGATGGCAGGGGTGGGGGAACTTCCCGCCTTAAGGATCCCAGGCAGTAAGGCTTAGAAAGCACTGTCCTGCATCTCAGTGTCCTTTGGTCTGCACGTAAGAGCACTCAAGAGCCAGGCACAGAGGGAGCCCACCAGAAACATCATCAGCTCATCTTGTCCCATTTCAAGACCACTTAACACTTCCCAAGGAATGAAGTGACCACATCAGCCAATGCCTTAAAGTGGCAGATACCCTGGAGGGAGCGCAACACCATCTTGTATAACCAATAACTAAGTGATTTAATCCCTGTAAATTACAAGCACATTAATATCCAAAAAATTGGATTTATAATCCTACATGCCCTAATACAGCATGAGCGATGTTAAAGTAACTTGCCCACTTCACCCCACAGCAAACTGTGCATCCATATGTCACAGTAAGTTAGACTTGGAAGACATTGTCCTATGCATCAGCTCATTTCATACTTCACACTTTGGAAGAAAGATATGGATGCGATCATTACAAATGAGGAGAGCAAGTGCTCCCTCCAAAGAGACAGAGCTAGGTAACAGCAACCCACTACTAGACAGAGGCTTCGCAACTCTTCTCTGGCAAGGGCTCCTGCAGGACTGGATGTGTATTATTTGCATCACAACAAGAAAGGTTCAAGTTCTCTTCAGCATGATGGAGGAGATGAGTTCAAAAGGAGGCTGTGAACTAGACACTCTGCCCTGTCCACAGATGGCCATTGGTGAATGAACGTTTATCAGCTGCCTTGCCTTTGCCGGCTGCCCATGGTCAACCTAGGAGCACGAGAGGAAGGCATGAACCGTGGGGTAAAACACAAGCACGGGTTGTCAGAGGGCCAGGAGCTCAGTCCAACTTTTCTGGTAACTTTGCTGCAGTTCTGGCACAGGATCACATACTCAAATTCAAATCCCATCCCGGGCACATGTGAACCTTCCAGTCACCATCCCACAGGCCCTCCCAAGCTCTTGGCGGTGTACCACCAATACCAGAGCTGCACAAAGCCACACAGTGCCTCACACCATGCATTCCAACACCTGGATACCTCTGCCGTTCTTCACTGCCCTGGACCACTTTCCTTACCCCTGAGCCTAGAAGGCTGAGCCACTAAGACTCAGGCAGGTTCTGTTTCCTCGGGAAGATTCCCCAGCTCTCTGAGCCAGATTTAGGGTTGGTTATGTTTTGTTTCAGATGCATTTGTTTTTTGCAAAGCACTTTGGTAACAGCTGTGGCAGAGGGATGCAAAGAGCCTACTCTTTTTAATTTTAGGAGCTCCCTGAGGGCAGGTACTGGGTCTTTTGGGGACAATATTCAGGCAGTTTCTAATAAATGGTGCCAGGGTAGATCGGTGACAGAGAGGTTGATGAAATGGAGGGAAGAATTTACTAGAAGTGTGCCAGTCTCGGTGAGGTGCGATATGTTGACATGTTAGGAAACTGAATTTCCAGACTGGGCTCTAATGGCAGCTGGATGATCGTGGGTGCACAGTTTAACCTTGCAAGGCCTCGTTCTCTAATTGTGAAATCCACTCTCTATCCTGCTACAACCAGCTGGGAGCCCCAGGAGGCTGACGGATATAAACCGTATCAATAGCTCCTCACTGAGGCTTCTTGTGGAGTTTGGCCAATGAAACAGAGCAGTAGGAGATCAGGACCAGGAGGAGCCTGCAATGGAGGATTTTATTCCACCCACTACAGCTCCCTCCCTGCAGCCCCCTCAGCTGAAGCCCTACCGCTCCTCCACGCAGCCCTGCCTCTGTGTTACCACCTCTGGCCCCCTGGCATCCCTTTCCTACTCTCCTCAGGTATCTCACTGTTTCTGTGGATTCCTCCACCTTCCCCGGACCTTTCAAAGGTTCTCTTCCTCAAACTCTTCTCAAATTACCCCATGTGAGGGTGCCATCTGTTTGTTGCCGGATCTCCCACTGACACAGAGGGAAATATCTTTGATTCCTCCCTGGGTCTTTGTGTCGACCGCATGTGATCATTCATGTAAAGCCTTCACTGAATACTCCCAGGGTCTCTGCTGCTACTAATGATCTCTTTGGTGTGCATGAGTCAAGATCCAAGTGAGAAGTCACACTGGAAATGAAGAGCCTCCCTTCTCCCGCATGCTCTGGCAAGCCTGTGGTCCCGCCTGAGCAGAGCAAGTGGCGCCCAGGTTAATGCGCCCTCAGTGCCCAGGGGAGCAGGCAATTGCACGCCAGGGAGAAGCAGGCTCTGTGTGTTTGCTCAGCTCCCCAGGGCTGATGGGATGAATGCTGACAGAAAGAGGGCAGCCAGCGCATCGGGGAAAAACATCGCTGCTCCATCCACCCTGCTCCAGAAATAAGCCAATTACTGACCTGGATTGATTCTCTCCCCGTCATTTCCTCTAAGCCAGCACCTGCATCTAAGTTTCAGAAGCAGCAGTGGTAGCGGTAGCACGTTCAACAGAGTTAAAATGGGATGTGTGAGGCGGTCCAGTAAAGTTTGCCTCTCTCTCCGCAGGCTGAGTTGAAGATTCCTCTTATCCGCCGGGCACCGAGAACTATGAACAGGCAGTAAGTACAGGAACACCACTGTGACTCCCATCACCCAGGGATGCTCAGGAAAGGCACTGCTGCTCCTGAGGGGAGGAGGGATTTCCCGAGGGGCCAGGGTTGTGGCTTGGGCCTTCAGACCACTCCCTTGCTGCAAAAGGCATTTTCTGTGGACGGCCACTTCTCTGGGCCCCGGGGCAGAGGGAAATGCTCCAATGCAGAAGGGCTCCCAGAAGTACCCCGCTCACTGTCCACCCAGGTGTGTGAAGTGCAAGCAAAAGTCAATGGTCCAACGTTGGTCTATGGGGGCGGGATTTGCTAAGGACACCCAAGTGTGCGACTGACTCAGGAAAGCACCCATCTGTACTCTGTGTCTGTGAATATAACATAAAGCAAGCAGTCCTTGGAGGTTTAAGGACTTTCAGGATGAGGAAAAAAAAACAAAACCTCTCTAGAATGCATCTGCTTACCTATTCATTTGGTCTCTTTACTTTGCTTGGTGAAGTAGCACGGGTGCTCTCCTCTGGTGTGACAAGAGAGGCAGAGCGTAGCACTGGAAGGAACATGAGTTTCACAGGGAGGGGGCCTACTTCCATCCCCACCCCACTGAAGCACAGCTGTCTGGTACTGGGATGTTAGCTAAGCTTGCGGGGATTTGAGAAAGTGTTTGGCTCTGTGGAAAGCAGGATCCGGCCTGGAAGAGGAGGGATGTCTGGCTGCTTGGTGAGCCTAGGTCTTAGAGGATCCTGGGGTACAGGATGGCAGGCAACGGGCATAGCACTAGAGTCCAGAGTGACACAGGGAGCAGCAAGTGGCACAGTGGCAGCCCCAGCACTGTGATTGCTCCCCTGCCCAATGTCCACAGCCGTCCAGGCTGGGTCGTAGGAGCTGGAGCTTGTGCCCCTCCTCTTGCAGTGGAGGGAGCTCCTGGGGTTCAGACCGACCCAGGAAGCTCATCAAAGGTCACCTCTGTGCCAGGGGCTGCAGCCCTTTCCTCCTTGGCCGGCACCATCACAGTCCAAAGCAGGGAACCCTAGCTTCTCTGCGCTTCCTCCCTCTCCAGGTGACTTGTCTAGTGATGGAGCATGTCCTGACGGAGCTCAAGTCTGACTCCAAACCTAGGGCTCCTTCCCTGAGTGGGAGATGGGGGAAGCTCGAGGGAGGGAGGCAAGGCTGAGGTCAGGCACGCTGGGCTAGGTCACCTGCGGCAGCTGCTCAAGAGTGGGAAACAAATGTGCCAAGCAGCAACATCACCACAAGGCTTGAGCACTACAGGTGGTGGCGATGGAATAAAGAAGAAGGCACCTGGAGGTTCTGCGACAAATCACCACCGTTGAGAAGCCTCTCACCATTCTACAGGTGAGAAGTTCAACACCAACATCAGTTGCCAGCACTGTGCTCCCTCTCAGCACTTCTCCTCCATGTCCGTCCCATCCCCTATGCTTCCGGTCTCAAGCCTCTCTCTTATAAAGACATTTGCCGTTGAATTTCGGGCTCATCTGGATCATCCTGGGTAGTCTAAGTCATCTCACCTCAAGGACCGTGATTGCATCTGCAGAGGCTTCTCTTCTAATAAAGTTCCAGGCACGGATACCAGGTGTGACTTAAAGGTGGATGTGTACTAGAGCCACCAATGAATCTAAGGTGGACCTTCTAGTGATGACCAGCCTGACATCCGAACAACTTGGGTTATGGCCAGAATTTTAGTTTTAACCTCTGAACAAAGCCTTGAGTTACAATCTGAATGCCAGCCACTTGTGCTTCCAGAGGGTCTCAGATACAGATTTAACCCTTACAGAGCTCCGGAAGGAACATGACAGCATCCTCTCCTGTGTGGGGCTTCCTGAGAAATCCTGGGCCAGTGTCTCACTGAGGTCTGCCTGGCTACAGGAGAAAGATGCTAAAGGCTGTGCAGAGGAGCCTGAGCCTTCAGTTGACCAACTGGAATTACAACCAGTCCTTAAGAACAATTTGAGTTCATAAGCCAAGGTCCCACTGTACTCCAGCAGGCCTTATTCTCAGATTTGCTTTGCCTTTCTGGCGGCAAGGTGAGATGACTGACAATCACACCCATCTGGCTTTGTACCACAGACTTCCTACCCCTTGGTCTCTGCTTCCCTGTCTTTTATAGATTTGGCCCTGTGCTGGAGACTTCCCTTAGAGAGAGGAGACGTCTCCCCTCTAAGATCCTAGGTAGTTTTTTGTCTTTAGACAGACAAATGTCCTCCTTCTGTCAATGGTTTCTTATCAAGCTTTCCAAAGGGTAATGATGACTTTAGCTTCAGAGTGGCGTCAGATATGAAGCCAACAATGCAGAGACCACAGCCCAGGCTGCGCAACTTGTCACTTCATACACGGGGGCTCCCGTTCTTTGGATGAGCTGGCAGGAGCCCACCCATTTGCCTGCCTTCCTTATACCTCCATGCCAGGAAGCCACCTTCTGAAATGGCATTTCTGCCCCATATCTCGGGGCATCCTTTTCTCCCCCTGATCTCCATCAGTCCTAAGCTTGTCTTCACTGTTTCTTCTTATGCATCCTCCAATCACCAGTCCATATTGGATTGCTGTTGGCCCATCCTGAAATCAGAAGAGAACAGGAATCAAAATCACAACAGCCTCCAACACATATGGACAAACACACACACACGTATACAAGAGAAACACACATGCTAGCACCATGTAAGTGAAAAGTAGACCACACTCACACACTCACATGCTACCCTCAGCCACCATGGTTTCCTGCCCATGTTTCCTGATCTGTGTGCTTTTGTCACTCTAGGTACAAACAGTATAGCAGCGGCAGCAGGGCTCAGAGATTTGTTAGAAATGCAGAATCCCAGGAGCCCAGAGCTGCCACAGATGCTGAACCAGAAGCTGAACTTTTTTCCCTAGTTCCTGGCACCACTCCCTTCTCTTCTGGGTGCACTAAGAGGCCCTTAGAGAAGGCAGCCTTCTGTCCAGCTCTGTGTGAGGGTAGTTTGTATCTCTGGACATACGGTGTTCTGTTCTTCTGTGTCTCGGGGAGAGCAGCCCCTTCTACTGTGATGACCATTAACCCGATTAATTCAAGGCAGTAGATTCTAAATCTCATGTGACATTGGAATCATCAGGAAAGTTCAATGTCTTAGTTACATTCTCATTTCTGGAACAAAATACCGGACATCAACAAATAAAAAGGAGAGAAGATGTGTTTTAGCTCACAACTTGTAGAAAATTCAGTCTAAAGTTGACAGGCTGCAAGGTGAGACAGCATGGCAGAGGGGCGTAGCAGAAGGGAAGCAGTCCATATCAGGCAGGCAGAAGGCAGCAGCCAGCAAGCTTGCCTTTTCCACCCCTTTATATTCCATTCAGGCTACAAGCCTATTGGTTGCTACCACCCACACCCAGGGTGGGGCCTCCCATTGCTCGTTCTCAGAACTATACTAAACCAGTTTAGTTAGCACACACCCTTAATCCCAGTATCACACATCCTAGATTGAGTGACCTCCAAAAAGTCCCACCTCCGACAGCATGAAACTCTAGGGGGATGTCTAGATAAAAGCCACAGCACTATAAATACCAACCTCGGCATCCTTCTGAAATCCAAAGATATCAGAACACCTTGGCACCGGTCTTTTAAGTTTTTGAATGCTCAGGGGAGTCTAATCTGCACTAGAGTTAAAAAAAATGGTATCTTATAGTTAGTTCTATATCCTAGAATGTCTTAAAATTCTATAACTGGAATTCAAAACAATTTTAGTAACTCTGACTTAATTCCTTACTATCCGTCTTAGTCTTGTTGGGCTGCTGTAACACAATGTTTAACTCATATGCAACAGACATTTACTTCTCTTGGTTCTGGAGCCTGTGATGTCCAAGAATAAAGCACTGGCAGATTTGGTGCCTTGTGAAGGTTCACTTCCTGCCGATGCGCAGCATCTTCTTACTGTGTCCTGACAGGTAAAAAAGGGTACAAGAGCTCCCTCGGGTGCCTTTCAGAAGGGAACAGATGTTACTCATGAATTCTCCACCCCTATGACATAATCCGCTCTCGAAGGCTCCAAGTCTAATGCCATAAACTTGGGTGATTAAGTGTAAGGATGGGGACTTTGCGGGACACAGTTAACCCATGTGGTCTCTCTTCTTAGACGCTTTTAAAAGGAAAGAACAAATACACATAAGTGAATGAGTAATAGAAAAATAGAAATTATACACACATGTGTGTACAGTGTACATATGTGCATGTATATCTGTACATATTCACACAGTTTATATAAATACCTATATACACGTGCAACACAAGTATCTCCACACATCTTTGCACATCGTTGCTCCAGTTGTGTGAAAGGCATTTATTTACTAAGCGTGCATTATACCAAGCCCTGAGCTAGGCACATCACTTGTAATGATGAAGATCCATTCCCGCCCTCACAGAATATTAGCATATGTTCATCAAATCAATTTGTTATCACATAGAAAATGATGCAGAAACTCCAGGAGAGCTAAGAAGGGGGCAGATGTCATGATTCTAAATTGCTTCTGAACTGAGAAGGATGTTTCCCATTGACTCCCTGTTCAACAAAACTCAGAGCTTCCCTAATAATCGATTAGACTGCATCACACCTCGTCTCTGGGAGCACACTAGGGCTCAGAGAGGAGGAGACGGACCTGCCAGTTGCCCGCTGCACCATTAGGGTGAGGAAAAGGAGTCCGTGAGTCTCAGGGTTTCATTCCCAGTATCTCTTCATTGCTATGGATGAGACTGATAAGAACCTCAAGGCCATGGTTCCAAGTGTTTTGGAAGAGTGAAGATCACCAGAATAACTGCTCCCAGTCCCCTTACAGTAAGCCATGCCCTACATGAGCCAGGACCCTTTGGGAGCTGGAGAGGACAATTCTCTCTTGCATTCTGGGCTGGGAGCTGCATGGAGAACAGGTGTCCCTAGAGGATCCACACTGAAGTGCATCAACTATGAAGAGAAACTAGCTGTGTGTTATTAAAATTATTCCTAGCTCTGATGGAAAATTTAGAAAGCAATTCA